TTATATCAAACCTATATTATATATATAAGAATAACTTTAAATATCGTTGTATATTTATAATGCAAAAAGGAATTAATCTATGGTATATATGTAAATTACAATATATTCAATACCGTTTATTTTGTATATATGTTGCCACGATTTTCAATCACGATGAAACGCAATTCGAAAAGATTGCTGAATTTGCATTTAAAATTTTACTTGGGAGGATCTTCATAATACTAGAATATCGACGTTTCTCCTTCCGTTGCGTTAAACTCAGCAGCTAGTCATGTATTCGCAATGGAACGACTGAATAATTCCGTCCATGTAATGAGTCCGCGCATCTACTTCTCTTTTTTTCGCGACGTTCTGGCAATCTTTTGCTTTATTCCTTCAAGCAGAGGCGCTTTTTTCAACAGTTCTTCGTTGAAACACGTGAGTATACACTTACGCAGTGCAGTCTCGAAATGGCAAAAGAGTCGGAATCTTTATTACAAATCTGAGTGCACCTGTGCGAATATACCTGCTACTCGACGGTTACGATAGGAATAAGGGACGTCGTTCTATTTCGACGGTGTTTCAATTTAGCAGCCGCTGCAAAGGGTTTCGAGCTTTTATCGCATAACTTTTATCCGACGGGGGTGGTAAATAAAAGGAAGACGAGTCGAGGGGCGTGAAGCATCATGCCGAAATATTAGGCAAAATATAAAAACGAGAGACGTCGCAACCAGGCACGAATACCGCGTAGCGATATTAGTATCTGGTATTTAAATACATATAAGTTATATGTGTGATATTGTATAAATAGTCGCGTGTGTATGATGAGCAATTTTTCTAAATGCTTTTGCGTATCTATTTGCTTTATTTATGATTCTTTAGTAAAAAAAAAAAATTATGTAAAAAAGTAATATGTAGCTATATATATATACATATATTTGTTATTTTCGATGAAACGAGATTATTATATCCGTCATCGTCATTTAATTGTTCTCTTGTTTTATTAATTGCTACCTTTGGCTTAGCACTACCGTGTTTCTAGATAGAACATAATTAGCTTACCATATATCGTTCCGTATTCAACGAAAGTGGAGTTTTGTTGACGATTTTTCATCGAGTATTTGTCATTTTTTCCACTTTTTTCCGAGAAATTTAATGTGAGTCAAATTCTGTTTAGTATCGACCTTAACTTTGTCCTGCTATTTCTGTTGAACTCGATGCGAGATTAAGTGGATTCTTTTTTACGTCAGATGTAAATGGGAACAGAGATCGAAATTCGCATTTGTTACATCGAAGATACCAGGTGTTTCCAGTACGTAGATGTACGGTCTATCGCTGCGACAAAGGATTCACCGTAATTGTTACGTTCCATGTTGCGTTCACTATTGTCCGTTTTCGCTTTCAAATTTAGCACGATTACTGCTAGTTGATAGCTGACGAGCATTTTATATTGTTTGCGCAATTGTTCAGTTTTAAAAATCTATCGTATTTTTGTAAAATGCTAAATAATAAAACAGTTTTATTTGTAGTGTATACAAAATAATTAGTAAACATGAAAATAAAGTAAAATTACACACACAGGAAATATTAATTCGATTAATTCCTCTCTTAAATAATTATATTACTATCAGCTATACAATGGTTATTTAAAAAGTTTTAGATTTCATTAAATGAGATACCCCAGTTTCATCTTACTAAAATGCATTTTAAAATGCAGTCTAAAACCATGCAAACTTATTTTCCATTATCGTTAACAGTTATAACGATAATTGTAACATTTATAATAATTTTTATTCAACGCAGTATTTGCAATAATATTTACATACATTAAAACATATATTTGCGGTAAAAATATTGAAATTTATAATAATTAAAAGTTTAACTTATTGTGTGTTAGACACGGAACTCGCAACATTTACATAAATGTCGTTATGAATGATTAAAGAGAATAAACACGCGAACATACGTGTTAACGCAAAATAAGTCGTAATAGATTGTAATAGGTTGCATGTAAGTTACGACGTGAAAAATTATAATCCGTCATCGAGATTCTATTTTCTGTATGGAGAAATGCTAAGTGGTTTGCAAAAACATCTGGTTGCATGTAATGAAACTATATTTTTCTCTTACCTGTATCATAAAGCTGTCAAGAAGTCAATGAATGTTGATGAAATATACGCTAAATTATCTTTGTTTTCACACTGTATTGTGAAAGTAGATTTTCGTTGATTTTGTGTGTATCCGCAAGAAATATTTATTAAATTATAAAATATTTATTTACAAAATATAAAATGGCTAAGAATTATATATATTTATGTAATTTGTATTTTTTGTTATTTATATTAAAACAACTAATGGTCCAAATGTTAGCAATCCTATATAAAATTTACTGGATATTTCTGAAAAAAAAATATATATATAATATTTATAAAAATTTGAAAGCTTTAGGTACTTAATGATAATATTTCAAAATAATTTTTTCGTTGAAAGAACAGTTATCTTAAATGGTGTTAAATTTTTAGTACCATAATGTGACTTAAAAGAATAATTAAAAGTGAAAGTTTATGAAAAGAAATTATCTTAATCGTATTATTTTTTCATAAAACTTTTATATCTTTCTTACTATTACTTACTTAAACATTTTTACAATATGTATTCTAAAAGATCACATGATCCTCTTCCTAATAATGTATCGAAATTACTTTGTGAATCATTCAAACTAATGAACGAGTATACTTTCTAAGATTTAGGAAATAAATTCATTACAATCATATAGTGTCACGATTAATGTTTTATTGAATGCGTAGTTAGAATGTTTAGTATTTACATTGATTCCACGTATTCAGATAAATAACGTTGATGAGCGCGAATCCGCGGCCGCATCGCCACGTATTGTGCGTGCCGCGCATAAAACTCGATGTATAATTAAAGACCGTGAGCGCTCATTGCATTTCCCATCGCAGAATATCAGGCGTATCGAGCTTTCATGAAACACCGGTAGCCGCGGAAACGCGAAAACCCTTTTGAAGTGCACTATTTAGTCATCTCCTTCTTTACCTCCATTATTTTACACTCCAAAATCTGACGCTAAATACTCGGAGGAAAAAAGTCTAAAAGACATAAAGGTATCCAGAAGACATCTTATACCTAAGCGTCTTTTAAGTATGTACCTTGTCTTCTGGATTGTTACTTCATTTACGTTATCTTCACTTTTAATAAAATAAGAAACAAAAAGCTTTGTTTGATGGGAAAAGTCTCCACCATCGATAGAACAATGTATAAGACCCGATTTTGTTAAAAATAATTAAAAGAGTGTAATTTGTGTCTCGATTGCTCGCATCGCTCGTGTGACGCACGCCATTCGAGGCTGGATTATTCATCAATCTTGAGGACGTATGAAGGTGAGTATACACCAGAAGAGGAACGCAAAAAGATCAGGCAAACAAGCGGAGAGCAAACCCTCTCATGTTCGCCGTCTCCTCGTTTCTTCTTTGTATTCACATCGGACATTCGGTCGGTTGAACGAACGTTTGCATTTATCATTTATTTAAAGATAGACATATACTGGGCGAACAAACAGTGAGAATGCTTCAGTGTATACCCACCCGGAGAATCGCGAGGTGCGGAGAAAAAACCTCTTCGCAATGGCGATGGCACTGCGAGAGGTCGACGGGAATTGAGGTAAGGCTTCTACAGCGCGGAAAGAACGTCGCTTCGTCCACCTCAGGCTCGCGTAATCAAGTTGTCGCGAGAAATCTGCTTGTCTTATCTTGTCGCGATTTCGAAGAAACGTACACCAGCTCGAAAGAAGATTTACTTAAACTCTCTGCTACCGGCAAAAGACAACAGGATTACTCTAGAGCGGGATTTACAGCTTTCACACGTTTGAAATATATTTTTTGTTGTTGTACGACATTTCCACCGTCGCGCAATATTTTTTTTTATTCAACTCTATGTTTATTTATCTATCAGAGCATATTTCAAATAGTTTTGTTTTTTTGTCGAATTTGATATATGAAATAAAAACGGCATTACGGTAGCAGATTCAATATCGATTTATATTGTATCAATGTAAATTGACTTTAATCGTGGTTTAACTTATTCTTTTCTAATTATTTTCCTAGAACTGGAGAAAGATAAAAAATTAGTTAAGCCAAAATTAAAGTTGATATATATTGATAGAAACGGATATTAATCGAAGAGTACAATTCATCATTATTACAGCTTTGCTGGTCACGACAAACAGAATTTTCGCAGCAAATCTCTACGTTATGCAATAACGTATCGTATATACGATGAAAGCTCGATCAAACGCTACCATGAAAGGGATTAAACAAAAACATATGCAATCAACGAATGCGGCAAACGATAGGCGGTACAAATCACTTTAGGATTCGAAAATATGACTAATACCACGATTAATTGAAAGAACGATAAATCGAGCTTTCGCCGTGTACATACATTTGTTTGTACGTATGTATACGTGTATATATGTATATATGTAGAATGCACGTACGAAGAAAACGACTCACCGATCACGCACACCGAAAGATATCAACGAGCCGCATATCGAGCGGAATGGTTCCCATCGGGAAACAAATTTCCTGCGAGAAACCGAGTTTCCTGTCCAAACAAATCGGGGACTCCCTTTCCGCTTACGCGACTTTTTCACCAATGCGTATCTTACGACATACCTTAGTACCATAATGCCGTAATCCTCTGGTCTCATTGCGATCCACGTAGTTACATCCAAAGTAATTGCTAATTTTATTATACGAAAATTATATTGCACAGTTTAAATAATGTAATAAAATAAAACATATTTCTGCACTAGAGAATATACTATATTTACGACAAATTTAATATGAAATTTATCATGGCATTGTTATTATATTCATATACATATGTAAAATAATTTATTATTATTTCCGGATATATTAGTAAAAATTATTGACTTTTTTTTACAATTCTCAAAACTTGTTCGAAATATCATTGTTTTGTACAATTTATCATCACAACAAAATCTCTAAGTGCAGCAAGAGAAATTGCAGTCGTATTTACACGTTGAAATATTTCTCATTTTTATTATGGACAGCGGAAGTTGGACTGTAACTTCGCGCGCAATAAGACACGTAGAATTACACAAGAATTTAAGAGTAAAACGTATCTCCTACATTAAATCGCTAGCTCAATTTCGAAATGGAGTACAGTCGTCCCGGCAAACACATTTACGTGGCACTCGCGCGAGAACGGGCCAAGATGGAAGATAAGGTGCGAAGGATTGAAGAGCTTTACAGGTGTGCACCATACCGAGACAAACGGATTCGCTGGTGACTTTCTGTCCTTGAGCTACAAGACACCGTCGGGCAGCACATCGAGCACGCGCGTACCGCGGTTATCAACCCCGAATAACGTCTATCTATAGTATACGCAAAGAGACACACGTAAGGTAAACCGAGTTCATGGTATCACGCGCACAATCATCCTCGGCACACACCGGAGTTTCTTCCCAGGTTAGAAGTGAGCGGGATTCGCGCCGACACCAGGCAGCAGAACAACGACTTCGGGAACTCGTTTTCTCACCGGGCCCGCCGTCAGGTCACGGAGGACACACGGGCCGAAGTATGCCGCCGGGGCGGCGGTAATTCACGTCGGGTAAAGGCTCGTGAAACTGGGTACCCTCCAGCTGACGGCCGCCAGGAGGGACACGAGAAAGTTGCTCGCCAAAATTGCCGGGCTGAGGTTCCTTCTGTCGCCCCCGTGCATCGCCGCTGGCTTCTCCTCCTCTGCAACGAGATTAGAAAGCTACGTTCATACGCGGTCGAAAGGGGTGGCGGGGACACGAGCCTTATGCTGTTCAGTTTTAGATTATCACTCGTGGACGGGAAAGGCTTGTTGGATTTATGCACAGTAAAGCGCTTGAAATAAAGCTACGACACATTTGCGCCTGTTTGCAGGATCGATTATGATCCCAACAAAAGTTCCCGCATCTTCCTTAGGGATCGTTAATTAAGGAATGTACTGGAAAGTTGCGGGCTACAGAATCTAATTATTAACTTTGGTTTTGTTTTTTGATATACCTTATGTAATATTTGCTATACACGACTCAACATGTTATACTTTATAAACACACATCCCTTGAGGAATATGAATATTTTTAATGCAAATCGTTACTCTCTCAACAATGGTAATTTGACTTTAATAAAAAAGTATAGGATAACAGATTTCCTGTATATACAGGGTGAGGCATTTAAAACAGATCACCTGAATAACTCGTTTGTTTTTAACAATAGAAGGAAAAGTATCAAACAAAAATTGCTTGGTTTCGAGGCATGTGATATCAATAATTGTTTTGTTGGTGGAGGCGTAAAGGATAAGTAAAGGTCAAATCTGTATTTTTTAATAAAATGTTTTTTATTTACATTCTGATAGAGAATTTTAAGACGAAAACAGTAACCTATAATTGAAGATCATTTAAAGTTACGCAAGGTAACAAGATTTTAATAATGAAGAATAATTGAATGGAAAATTAATTGTTTCAAGGCACTCATTGAATAATTTCGAGTCTTCTCTGCTTGTTGGTATATCGCTAATCATTCAAGTGCAGTATCACGGTATGTAAATAAACATTGAATCGCACATAGCATTATCCATATTTATTTACTGATCAGTTTGAATTTATCTATCAATCAAAATGCGTGTCTTGCGAAATATATAGATCACCATAGATGAGAATCATATCGACTTTTTTCGTATAACGCATTTCGCAATTCCATTTGAAAAAAAAAACAGATTTAATCTTTGCCTATCTTTTACGCCTTCATCTACAAAACAATTATTGATATCACATATGTGCCCCTCGAAACCAAGTAACTTTTGTTTGATACTTTTCCTTCTACTGTTATAAAAAACAAGCGAGTTATTCAGGTGACCTGTTTTAAATGCCTCACTTTGTACGTAAATTTTAGAAATAATAACTGCATAAATAACAGCGGGATAAATCAAATTAACAGTGAACAAAGATGTATTCATTACCATTATTCTGCCTTTCTAGTATTAATAATAGAAGATATTTTAAAGATATTCATGTGTAAACTGGAGCAGAAATTCTAAAGAAAAATGAATAAGTATCCTTCTCATACGAAGCAGTAAAATCTTCCCTCGAGAATGGAAAAACAGCGTTTTAAACGATCCCAGGTTCGACGTTTCTAGTTGAGATATAAGATAAAACGCGGATCATTTCACATTTCTTTATTGTAGCAAATACTACTTGACAATCTGATCACGTACGTGACGCTTTCTAGTTGTCATGTGCTACAGTATCAGCAGACATGGCAAACAGTGGACGAATATCTGTCGAACTTCTCGAATTTCCAAAGGCATTTCTCTCTTTTCACATCTTAAATTCCTTCAAAGTAAAAGCCACTTTTTAAAAACTAAAATTTAATTTTAATAAAATTCAGTAAGCTGCAGTATTTTTTATAATTTTTGTACTATGATTTACAAAAAAGGGATTATTTTATTTTTTTAATTCATTTTTTGCAATTCTTCACATATATATCATAATTTCCAATACATTTTTTAATTTATCTGCCATACGGAACTTTTTAGTCTTTAACTGCTGTAATTTTTTTCTAACTTAATACCATTTCTATTTCTTTATAAGAACAAGTACTTGGTTAAAGAAAGCCGTAAACTTGTAATGTAAAGAGAGAACTTGATACAATCTGCACTAACGCCTTGGAAAAACTTTTGACGACTGGTGATGTTGAAGCCATGTCGCGACACAAGTATGAAAAAAAAGATTAAAACAAAATCGTGTGGGAGAAGGGTATTGTTTCGTGTAAGGAGGAAATAATAGATAAGTTTGATAATGCCCCACGGACACTATCGCGTTGTTACGTAGTTGTTGAGCGCGTTAAAATGTAAGTAAAACCCGACCCAAAGTTATACACTGTACTTTCAAAAAATTGCGTTCGAACTTTCGTCTTCACGGAACAAACTTGGGGGTTTTGTAAAAGTTTCGTCGTTAGAGGGACGGTCGTACAATTTTGAAGCGCCCTTCTGTTATCGCGAGCGAGTTATGCGGGATTGCGGGATGAATGCGTCTGCGAGAGCCGCGTTAAATCCGATCGTAACGAGCTCCCTACGAGCCGTTTAATTGTTCGGCACTTACTCTAATGAATATTCAAGTTTCGTAGAAGTTCTTCCCGGCTGATCGGTGGCTGATGATCTCTTCTTCCCAGAAGTAACTAGAGCGAGTTAATTACCATTGCGTTTTAATCCGTAAATTCGGCCTACTGACACAATCCACAAGCCATTTATACTGTAGAAATTTTTCTAAAATTGGATCTCTGGCGATCATATCGTTTTAATTTACGATTGACATTGCCGCACAATAGTGGAATTTAGGGGATATATAATTATAAGTTTAATCACCGCGAAACGTTAAAGATTCCCTCCATAACGTGTATGTACATAACATATTACTCGACTTGTGTAACATTTACATTATGCATTAAATAATATAAAAGTGAATGCATGTTTTATTTATATTACGCACAATTTTTTTGTTTGTGCAATGAAATCGAGATAGTTTATTAACAAATAATTCTATTTTATTTGAGATTCTTATTTACTCACCATTACTATCTCAGATTGTAACGTTAGAAGTAAGAAGATATACAATGAAAATTCTTATAAAAAATATATTAAAATAAAAATATATTTTAATACACACACACACACACACACACACACACACACACACAGATATTTTCTGAAACAAAAAGATAATTAGGCATATTTTATGAGTCTCTATTGATCGTAAATGTATTAAAAAAATATTCTATTTGAATTTTTTTGTTTTGCAAGAATTTTTATTGTATGTTTTCTTACTTTTGTCATCATAATCTGACATTGTAATAATAAATGGACAGGAGCCTTAACGTTCTATGTTCTATGAATATTTTCACGATAAAATTTCGCGATACGTTTGTAGCAATCGTTTATAATATTTTATGTATAGATATATGTGTACGTATCTAGCTTATAAATATCGTTATTAGATTTCTTTCAGTGCATAAATAGCTGTTTGCAGAGTACTTGTGTATGGTCAGTAAGCATTAATCATTTGTTTTATTTCATATTGATAACGTAAAAGATACTACTACGAGATAGATCTGCACCTGTTTGGAAACATAATTTAATCCTCTCTAATGTCTATAGCTGTAATGCAATTCGCAGAAAAGATTTCTATTAGGTCTAAATGGGCTTTTTAAATGATATAGTTTTTACTACTATTTTGTGAGATTAGATTCGCAGTACCAATACCTATCATACCTTATTTTAAAGCTTTAGACTGGAGTCACATTGAGCGGAAATTACAGCGGAACGGAACAGTGAAACCAATCAGAACTCTACAATTATTCCGCTACTTTACTTTCTGCGATTGTGATTGGTCTCGCTGTTCCGTTCCGCTGTAGATTTCCGCTCAATGTGATTCCAGCCTAAGGATAACGCTTCAAAACAACTGTATGGCGAGAAAAAGATTTCAATGTAATTAAGTGCTGTAGTCGATTGAATATAGGAGCCGAGAATTAAGTTGTAGACCTATATATTATTCAGATAGCATTTAATATTATTTATTGAATCGTTGTCTCTATGTTGAAGGATAAATAAATTGGTTGTTCTATACAAAATGGATTAAATTCATGATATTGCGCATTTTTATCAAATAAAAATTTAAATTACTATATTAAACTGTAAATATATTTGTCTACACTAATTGGAACGAAATAATACTTTATTGGACTAGTTTCGCATTCAAAAGTTTGTTTTAATTAACCTCAAACCTTTCAATTATCCTATAATTGTCCGCAAAGCTAAAAGCTGAAATTAATGAAAGTACCGCTTTATGTTTCTCACCTTCGATCACGTGAACCATGACAGACGCTACTTTGGCGTTGCTAGGTACGCACGTGTAGTTCCCTTCGTGCGTAAGCTTTGTTTTGTTCACCGTCAGAATGGAGCCGTTTGATGTGAGCTTGACTTCAACGCCGGTCTCCTCGTCGTAATTTATCATACGACCCTGACGATACCAGAAGACATAAACGGGCTTTTCCGTGGCTGCCATAAGTTGGCATTCCAAACGAAGGTTCGAACCTTGCTTCACGTGCAGATCAGGCGCACCTGGTATTATTATCGAGTACGCCTCCGTAATCTTGAGACGGGCGAAGTTTCGCTGCACCGGATGCGACGTCACCTACAATCGTAATGTAACAATATCTGACTTTTCATAGTATATTAAAAGTCAAATTTAAAAAAACTGAAACATTCAGATAATAATCAGGAAATATTAAAACTAAAGAAGCTGTTATTTTATGATTGAAATAGAAGAAATTAAATGTTATACTAAAAGAAATTTGTCGTTTCTAATATATTGTGTAAAAAAACATATATCTATAAACTATCCATAACATTTATCAGAAAGAATGTATTTGTTACAAGATAATAGCTATTTAGTAATTTCCTATTGCCAACCTGTAGATTTGCTTGAGATATATATATATATATATATATATATATATAATGTATAAAAATTGTTTTTACATAAATTTACCTTTAAATTGTCTAAAATAAATGAGTTTGTACTCAAACACAGTTATACATTAGTTGGAATAATAACACACATAAATATATTATATACAAAATAATATTAAAAAATTAGGTTATACCGTAACTTGAGCATTTTCCGTAAAACAATGACCAATTTCAAATTGTAATAAGCGACGCTTTACACTGTAATGTATATTATAAATTGTATTCACATCGTTAAAGCAATGTTGATTGTCCTTTATGGAACCCAACAGGGACTAAAGCTACGGCTAATCACTGCGACCTGAAACAGTTTGTGACCAACCGCTTTGGCATTTCAGCTGACATTTTAGACATGCGAAACCTTTAACGAAGTGTCACGTACATTAGAAATTATTCAATTAATCAGGTTTAGCTTAAAACATTTACTCAATTGGTACTCAAAATTTAACTCTATAATATTTCGCATTCTAAAGAATTCTATAATATTTCGTGTTCTAAAAAAAGCGTCACTGTTTAATTATTACGCAATGAAATCTACCTTACATTTGTTATTTAAGTCTGTATTGATGAGATAGTATAGTGTTTTCATTAGTATGAAAGCTTGATGATACAAACTGAGTGAAAGTAGATATTATCGCACTTATATAATAATATGTGACCTCTTTTTATTTTATTTATTTAAACATACACAGAGCTAAAAAAGAAGAGATGTACGATTCATATAATGAAAGGTAAAATTGATATACAGTAAAGTATGTCAGTTTAATGTGATATCTTAATATTAAATTACAGAAATACGAGTAAAAATATATTAATTCAAACATCATAATTAAATACAAATAAATAAACAAAACCAAATAAATACGTGAAAATTAAAAAAATATAACTGAAAACATTTGTCGAATTACCTGACATTCATATATGCCGGCATCGTCTACTGTTACGGTACGAATTGTGAGTTGCCAGTCGGTGCTCGAATGTCTGACGACAAATCTCTTGTCAATGGAGTGTGTACTAGTACCGACTGTTAACAATTGCCTGTCCCTCCGTCTCACCCACGTAATCTATAACAAATAAAACGACAAAAAAACTGTTAACATATGTCACTATTTTTACTTATGATACATAATTTTTACATGTAACAATTTTATTTCGAAAATTATTCAATTAATCAGATATTAAAACATGTTTTATACTAAAATATTAAAATTGAAAAAATTGCAGCTGGAATTTTGTTCAAAAATAATTGCAGAATATTCATTTCTGTTATGTTCACTAATGGCGAATTCGATTGGATGCACTAGTGCGCACTGAGTGCACCTGAGTTCATCTTTCTTCCTTTTCTTTCCAGGAGAAGGGAAAAGGAAAAAAGATGAACTGGTGCAATCACACTGCACTGGTGCAATCCAATCGAATTCGCCATAAGGCTTTTTAACTCTCAGAATGGTATGTAGCATCATGTAAGTACTGAATGGTTTTTTAACACCCTGTATAAAATTAAAATTGTTAATTCTCTTATTATATTATAAAATTAAACCATTTGTAAATGAATAAAAAAATAAACTTGCTTTTAAATTAATAGATATTATTTTCTACATATTACGGGAGTACCATTTATCTTTAAACAAGTAATTAGGATTATAGCTGAGTTGGATAATGAAAGTTGTTTATATGGCATAGTGCTCGAAAACAGTAGGTTATTTATAGTAACAATATATATATGAGAAGTAATGTATGTCCTATGAGGCAATGTGACAGGAGTCTCGACATGCATCGAATATCAATTATCATAGCCATTAGAGCATCCTAATTTCAAGGTAATTTTCGTTCCCCAGAGAACAGACCACAAAACTACGTTCAATATATCGCATAGTGGTTACATTACATGGTATTTAATTATGTAATAATATCATCAATCTTGTGCCATTTCTGGGCACGAAGAAAACCAATTTATTTAATCGTTTACGTAAATCTGAATCTATTAAATCATTAAAAGATAAAAGAGAACTGATTTAAAAAAATTTTATTATAAAAATGTTATTATAATTAGAATCTTTTTAATTTTTATACACTTACTCTTAAACATTGAAAAACTCCTTTCTGAAAAATATTATTAAAAGAAACATAATATATCTTAAAAGAAACTCTTAAATACTTTTTACGATAACAATAAAGAATTTTTCTCTTATTCGATGTCTATCATATGTAGATATACAAATTACTATTATTCTTTATGCATGTACATGTTTTAGCGTCCGATTCAAATTTAGCATGTTATCTTAAAACATTATACAGCCAAAAGGCCATATACATTGGCTTTATATTACAATTGTCGCAAGATTTATGATAACTAACCATGTCATTTCATTATTTAAAAAAATTATGTATATACAAAGTGGGACACTCTCTACATACAAAATAAATATCAACATTTCCATTTACGAAATGTAGACTTTCATATTTTGTACAATGGAAAATCCGTTGTTTTGTATTTCATGTTTCGTTTGAATGTTTGTTTATAACTTTATAATGAAGCATTCCTAGCTAAACTTTATGTAACATTTTTTTGTTATTTCCACTTGTAAATATATTCTCGCAGTTTGGTCGTTAAATCCTGGGACTATCTGTATATTTTGCATATTTATACATTTTATATGAAATATCAAGTAAAACATTAAATATTTTTAGTCGTAAATAATTGATATACTGAATATACAGCTCCGAGCACTTCTCTGTTTATTAGGGACGTAAATAAGTAATTACGTTTTCTAACAGTAACGCGTTTTCCTAAATAACGCGGTTGCCTATTAATCAACAGCTTCTAGTGAAATTTATTTATTTCCGATTAGGAGATTCCCCGTTACGAAGCCTCCTGGAATTTCGATCACAGATCACAGACGTCACGTTGCCATGCCAATTATTTTTTATTTACATCCTCATCGAGACGAAATCCACCGTAAATGTCTTAATACTCCCACTGAAACATAATTAGGCCGATTCCACGTAATACATCCCGGAGAAACCAATTTCCAAGGATATGACATTTCTGGTACCGCCAACCCCAGTAATCCTGAGTGCTTGCTGTAATCCTGGGTCCCACGAAAAGGACCTATCTACGGCTCACCGACGTGTAACAGCGAATCCAATGTGGCAGGGACGTGCGTGTGAGAGAGAAGAGCAAGAGAGTGTGTGTACGTGTGTTTGCACGTCGCCAGTCTTTGACTGGTGGAAGTTATCGGGTAGTAGAGTTTGCCTCAATCGGCGCAAAGTTACGAGAACTTTGCGGTGTCTTCGCGAGCAGCCGGAAGGACAAAGATCCTAAAGCCTCCCGACGTCCGTCTTTCGGTTTCAACTAACTCCAAATACGATTAATACACACACGTAAGGATTGTTAGGATGAACAATGTTCCCGTTTTGCTGTCGTAGATGGACTTTATTGCTCAAGATACTTGTGTAGTCAATTAAGAGGTTCCCTAAGAACGGCCATTAAGAGGTCGAAGTAATCAATTCACGATGAAATCTTTGAACTAATCCACGTTATAACATATATTACATACATAAAATAGCCCGTTTTTAGGATTACTTTGTAATCCTAACTGTAGTCTTTTAAGAGTATGGCTACTCTTTTTCAAATGGTAAAATTTCTATTCTGGTCATTAAATAAAATTTTATATTTACAAAATTATATTAATAAGAATTAATAAGAATTGTTAATAAAAAATATGTTCCAGAAATGTTAATTTTTTTTAAATATTTACATTTAATACATAAAAAAATTATACCTCTTTCCGCTTTTAGATTATCTTTCTTTAGAAAGTGTACATATATGTATTCTTTCTTATAACTCAGACATGATACGTTACTCGTTTTAGATTCGTGACGTCTAAATTATCCAATAAACTACACGTTACTGCAGTATCCTTTCTAATTATTTTTAGCTTAAACGTGCGAAAAGATATTATGGTATATCGACTTTATAAGAGAAACTGTTGAAGCTTGAGCGAGCGGCGCGTGGGCCTATTTGGCTTTCCAGCGGAAAGGGTTAAAAGTTTGCACGAAGCGAGTGGGTATAGTCCGCCAAAGGATTAAAACCAATTAAAACTTGGAACGAAATGCAAATTGGAGTAGCAAGTCCGACCTGCGTCGGGCCTCCTCTGTACTTAATTTCCTCTTACGTCGTCTTGCCTGACTCGATCATCATCATCAGTCTTGTTAGACATGGGTTAGGTAACCGATGGCTCTAGCATTCCCGTGGGAAGCTATTAAGCCGCGACCCGTGTGGGGATTTCTGCTGATCTAGGTGGAAAAGACTGTACAGTGGCAAGTAAATGGCATCTACTTGTGCGAGAGGTGTACACACGTGGCACATAAGTCGAGCTGACACCACTGTGAGACGCGCGGGAGCTTAATTGGGAAATACCTCGAGTTGCAGCATGCCATGCCGACACATTCTTTATCTGTCAACCGGGAATTGCCATCTGCGATCAGTGACTTGTGCAGTTACATATCAGATATATCTTGCGAGAATGAGTGACATAGAGCACAAGAGGACAGAAGCAGCGTTTAAATCCACGATATCACAGAGTTACAATTAATTGAAGTGCGTCCTAAATAATAATGAAATAAAGATTAAAAGAATCTCATCGTAAGAATTTACATGGCGTGATAAAAAAGAGAAATCATTTTCGCAGTGATAAGCATATTTCCATTCGCACTGAGACTCTGTAGCAACGGCAGGAAGGAAATTAAAGACAGCCCGTCGCTACTGCACGCCTGCGATCGCTTTCAACTCTTCCTTGATAGCAAGCATCGGGATTGCTGATAAGGAACACCGAAAGTTCATTCGTTTATCAGCCGAACCGTTTTAAAAGTATTCTTGTAATGAGGAAAGTTCCCTCACCTATCCGCCCTGCGCAGGAATGAAGCCAACCACCATTACACAGCCGCGCTATATACGCGTCACAACTCTGGAAACTTAAAGCTGCCTCGTGACGGTATTACTCATAAGATTGAAGAGATGAAATTTCTTCTCTTGAGAAATATTAAAAATAATTATTATTTAAGTTCTGAAAATTCGTATTAAACTTTTTATAGCGATCACTATATACAACACAAATAATATTGTAAAATTAACTAGTAGTTTTTTGAACATGGCCAGAAACACTACCGCGTCTCCTGACATTTCCTTTTTTAAAAAATATCACAGTTTAAGAGTAAGAATTCTATATTCAGTCAAAGCGGATCTTGGTACTTAGTAATATTCGTATGTAAATTTTTCAAATATATATTTTTTAATTCTATAAATTGCATACTCTAATTCGATTTATCAAATTTGAAACGCAATCTGGGTGAGGTGATATTTTTCACAATAAATTCTTCATAATATTTTAAGATGTTTGGCATCATTACTTGGGGGATTGATGATCAATGTGATTTGTGATATTACTTTTAGCTTCAGTTTATTTGAGTTTTAAATCTGAATTGGGACGCGGTTTATATAACTGAAAAATGTATTTGAAAAATTGACGTATAAATATCATTAAACACCATGTTATTTACTGTCAAGCTAATTTCTTTTATGTTACTACATATATGATTGGTTCAAACTTGATATTACAATTTAATTTTAACATTAAACTTTCATACAAAGTTAATAAAAGAATAAATTTGCCTGAAATAAAAATATTTATAGAATATATATCTGCCTTTTTAGACCAAAGTGTTTCAATAATTTATATATTAAATCTTATAATTTATATCAAACCAAAATTATCAAAAATATTTGATATTTTATTCATTATCGAATCGTTTATTTTTATTGTGGAATTTTATTTTTATGTGGATATTTATAAAGATAACTTATTTTACATAATATATACGAATAACTTCAGGATTTTATGACTTATAGAAATAAAAATTAATTTTCGTCTTGCGACCTTGAAATGACAGTGAGTTTGCGCATTGATTATAGCAACAAGAGTAAACACAGTACGAAGTTTAGTTTGAAAACAATTATAATCGATATGTCGATTTTGACGTATTGGGATGCGTAAGTGTGTTAGTC